TTTTATATGTACTCTTAACTACATCAAGGGAATTCCCCTCTAATTCTATTTCGTTCAGTGTTTCAACACAGAAAGAGTGTTGTAAAATGCCTCTTCTTTATCACTTGAAATGATCATGTGGTTCTTCTCCTTTGTTTATTAACGTGGTGGAATACATTGATTGTTTTTCTTATGTTGAACCATCCTTATTATATGCCCAATATGAATTCCACTCAATTATGATGAATTATTATTTTCATATGCTGTTGAATTTTATTGGCTAGGATATTGTCAAAGATTTTTGCATCTATGTTTAGGAGGGATATTAGTCTATAATTTTTTTTTGTTACGGGGTCTTTATCTGATTTTGATATCATGGGTATGCTTACTTCATAGAATTGACCTGGAAGTGTTTCTTCTTCTTCTATATTCTGAAATAATTTAAGTAGGATTGGTGCCAGTTCTTTTCTGAGTGTTTTGTAGAATTTGGAAGAATGTTTGGTGAAGCCATCTGGGCCAGAGTGTTTAGGTAGTTTGTTTTTATATTGTTGGGGCTTTTGGTTTTGGTTAGTTTGTTTGTTTTTAGGTATTTTGTTGGTTTAAAAAATTATTGACATTTTAACCAATGTTTACAGACAGCTTGGATTTGCATTGATTCATTGTTGCACATTTTCCTCCCTACTTTCACCCCGCATTCACTTACACCAATGTTCATAGCAGCATTATTCACCATCACAAGAACATAGAAACAGCTCACATGTCCAACCACAAACAAATGGATTGAGAAATTATGGTACATTCATACAATGGAGAGTCACTATGAGTCACCTACAACTCGATGGCACTTAACAACAACAACAACAGAAGAGAGAGAGAGAGTTGTCCTAGAGTCATGCTCCCAAGCCAAAGGTGGGTGACTCTACTCCGTGGCCCTCAGGCCTGTCTTTAATTGTTTTTCATGAAACATTCTTCTAGGTCGTGTAACCCTGGTATGTCCACTTACTGTACAGAGGTAACTCGTGGTTGCTGTGAAGCCGAACACTGTGAACTATGTAGCACACAGGAGCAATAACTTTGTAAATTATTACCTAACTTGGGAGGGACTGGAGAGCATTATGCCGAGTGAACTAACTAACTAACTAACTAAGATAAATTTTGTATAAAACCGTTATTGTAGAGTATGAGGATCCAGGAGGGGTGAGAGAGGCTGGAAGCAGAGGGATGTTGATGTTCAGGAGGAAAGGGGGGATTAAACATTGGGTAGTACAATTTGATGGGGGGTGGTGAGGGAAATAGAAAGAATTTGTTCAAATTTATATTTGAGTTTTGTAAATAAACTAGTAGAAAAAAATTTAAAAAAATCTTTCATTGTTGCACAATCTCCTCCCTTCCCCTTATCACAGTTCACTTTGCAATGCACCTCTCATTCTGGACTGCTGTTATGCAAATAATACTTAATCATATATTCCTTTTAAACAGTTCTTTCACTTATCTGTTTTGATTCAGTGTACATTATTTATCTCCTCTTTTCTTAGTTTTCACCCAATCCTCATGTCAGTCCTGTTTTATAATAATGGCATTATACAGTATTTGTCCTTTTGTGACTGAGATATTTCACTCAGCATAATGTCCTCTAGGGTCATCCATTTTCGATAATATTTCATGAGTTCCTTGTTTTTCAGTGCTGCATAGTATTCCATTGTGTGAATGTACCACAGCTTCTCTATTCATTCATTTGTTGATGGGCACTTGGATTGCTTTCATCTCTTTGCTATAGTGAGCAATGCAACAATAAACATGGGCGTGCATAAATCTGTCTGGGTGGCAGTTCTAGTTTCTTTAGGGTGTATTCCCAGTAGTGGAGTTGCTGGGTCAAATGGTGCTTCTATTTCCAACTTTTTGAGATAGCACCATATTGCATTCCAGAGTAGTTGCACCATTTTACACTTCCACCAACAGTGAATAAGGGTTCCAACTTCTCCACAACCTCAGCAGCATTTGTGGTTTACTGCTTTGTTGAATTTTGCTATTCTTACAGGGGTGAGACAATATCTCATAGTTGTTTTGATTTGAATCTCTCTTAGAGCTGGAGATTTTGAACATTTCTTCATGTGTTTGTTTGCCACTGGAATTCTTTGGTGAAGTGTCTATTCACATCCTGTGCTCATTTTACGATTGTGATGTTTACCTTTATCTCGTTGAGGTGCTAGAGTATTCTATAAATTCTAGATATAAGTCCCTTATCAGACATGGCACTACCAAATATTTTTCCCAGTCGATGTGCTTTCCTTTTACTCTGTTGGAGAAGTGTTTTGATGTGCCTAGGGACTTGATTCTTAGAGGGTCCTATTCACCTATTTTATTCTCTCCTGGTTGTAGGTTTTTCAGGATGCATGAAAGACTGTTTATGTTGTGGATTAAGGCTTCCAGAGTTCTTCTAAGCTTTTCTATGATGAAGTTTATAGTCTTTGGTCTTACTCCTAGGTCCTTGATTCACTTTGAGTTGGTTTTTGTGTTTGATGTGAGGTGTGGGTCTTGTTTGAGTTTTCTGCAGACAGTTTTCCAATTTTGCTAACACCATTTGTTAAAGAGGCTTTCGTTTCCCCACTTATTTCATCTCCTTGTCAAAAATCAGTTGATCATAGGTAGATGAGCTGGTTTCTGAGTTCTTAATTCTATTCCATTGATCTATGTGTCTGTCATTGTACAAGTACTTTGCTGTCTTGACCACCACGGCTGTGTAGTAGGATTTGAAATCAGGGAGTGAGATGCCTCCTACTTTGTTTCCCTTTTCAGGAGTACTTGGCTTATTTCAGGTTTCTTTCCTTTGCACATGAAATTGGATATTGCTTTTCCACCTCGTTGAATAATGGAATGGTAATTTTACTGGGATTGCATTGAAGTTGAAGATTACCTTTGGTAGAATTGTCATTTTCACAATATTAAGTTTTCTTATCCAAGAGCATGGTATATTCTTCCATTTATCCAGGTCTCTTTTCGTTTCTTGTAATGTTTTATAATTTTCTTTGAATAGGTTTTTTGTGTTTCTAGTTAAATTTACTCCCAAGTATTTAATCTTATTAGCTATTGTGATGGGTATTTTTTCCTTAGCTTCAGTTCTGTATTCTCTTTGTCACTGTAGATAAATTAAATTGATTTTTGTATGTTGATCTTGTATCCTGCTACTTTGCTGAATTGGCCAACTACATCCAGTAGTTTTCTCCTGAGCCATTAGTGTTTTCTAAGTATTCTATCACATCGTCTGCATATCGAGTTAACTTTTACCTCCTCTTTGTCAATTTGGATACATCTTATTTCCTTATCTTGTCTTATTGCTATCACTAAGACTTCCAGTACAATATTGAATAAGAGAGGTGATAGTGGGCAACCTTGCCTAGTTCCAGTTCTCAAACAAAATGCATTTAATATTTCTTGTTGGGAGTTTTTTTATAACTTATTTATTTTCTTCTTTTGTGATGGTGTGTTTAAGTGTTCTAATTTTGTCTTTGTTATTTTAAGGAGGGTATGAGTTTTCAAGAATTTGTCAGAGAATTTGCAGCACCATGACAGATGGAGAAGAGATCGAGGTTGTTAATAGTTACAGCTTGGTCAGCTCTACAATCCACACTCTTGGCACCAGCAATCAGGGAATTAAAAGACAAATTACACTGGCAAAACCTGCTATCAGGGACTTCTCCAGAGTACTGAGAAGTAACAATGTCAATCTAGAGACTAAGATGTGCCTCATTCAGGCCATGACCTTCACAGTTACTTGCTATGCATCAGAGAGCTTGACAATGACTAAGGATGACAGAAGAAAAATTGATGTCTTAAAACTAAAGTTGTGGTGCTAGAGAAGAGTCTTGAGCATGACATGGACTACCAAGAAAACAAATAGGTCTGTCTTGGTGAGGGTGAAACCAAGTTTCTCCTTGGAGGTTAGGAGTCTGAAGCTCTGTCTCACATACTTTGGGCACATGGCCAAGAATTACGAGTCCTCATGCTTGGAAGGATAGAGGGATAGTGCAAGAGAGGAAGACCCTGGATGAGATGAGATGGATTGATACAGTAGCTGGGGCAATGGTGGTAGGTGTGTTGTAGTCAGTGAGACTGGCTCAGAACAGAGCAGGTTTTCAGAGCTGTTGTACTTAAGGTCAGTATGAGTCACAGGTGAGTTGACTGCACATAACAACAACAATATAGCTTTTAATGATATTCCATTTTTCCTTTTTCTTGCAGCTGGTTCTGTTGTGACAGCACCCATTTAATTTCTTATTTATTTGTGTCTTCTCTTTCTTTTCCTTTGTTTGGGTTGTAAATGAGTTTTCACTCTTACTGATCCTTTCAAAGAACCAACTCCTGATCTTATGTATACTTTTAATTGTTTTTCTATTTTGTAGTCCATTTATTTTTGCTGTTACTTTTATGTTTTTCTTTTATCAAGAAGCTGTGGGATTTGTTTGTTGTTCTTTTTCTATTTATTGAGGATGTTGGGTTAAAGAGTTGGTTTTAACTATTTTTTTCTTTTTATGTGTTTTTAAGTATACACTGACCTCTGAGTACTGCTTTTGCTGTGTCATGGAGGTCCTCAAGAACTTTTTAAATTATATTTTTTCTTTTTTTTTATTACACAGTAGTGATCAAGGAAGGCGCTATTTAGCATCTGAGTACTTTAGGGTTTACCTCCCCCTTTATCCTCTTTATATTGATTTCTAATTTTATAACATTGTGGTCTGAAAAGATGCTTTGTAATATTTCAGTGTTTTTAATTATCATGCAGAAGCTGATGGTGAGAAGAAACTGACTTCACATTACAGAAAGAAAGAAAGAAACACATGATTATCTGGATTTGGGCAGGATTTAAAAAATAATACCCCATATAACAGACTATCTGGTCTAACAGAACTGGACCAACCATGCACCATCTTCATTCTGGCTGAGATCCCAGATTTCTCTTGGTTTAGCAGGACTGGAAATGAGCCCCATCTCAGAGTGTTCCTTGTGCTACTGCAGCCATATACCTGGTGTTGGCTGTTCCACGTCCAGGTCTTCTGTCTGATTCTTGGAGAGATCCTGCAGGCACTGGTCTCGTTCTGCCCACAGTACCTGGAGCACATCGCACAGTCGAGGGAGGGCTCCAACCTGCAGTACCGCAACAAAGAATGCTCATCATTGTATCCCTGAGGACTTTCCACAGTAAGAACATTATTAGCCAATGGGGAGTCAAAGTAGGAGTGGCAAAGCCCCAGTCTGCAAGGAGATCCCAAGCAGCAGGACAGTAGGGGCAGCATCATTGAGATATTGTTCAGAAAACAAGATGGAAAAGCTGAGATAGCTATCATTTTTCCAGTAAAAAACTTACTCTAAGTTTATCAAGGCCCTGATTCTAGTGAACTATTTGCTTTTCAGGCATCTTAGTTAATAATCAATGACTTATTCATTGCAAATATGTTTTTAAGAGACATAAATGTAGATTATACACATGGATTTCACCTGATGGTATGGATAGGAATCAGATCGATTACATCTGTGGAAAAAACCGCTGGAGAAGCTCAATATCAGCTGTGAAAACTAGGCCAGGAGCTGATTGTGGAACCGACCACCAACTACTCATATGCAAGTTCAAGCTGAAGCTGAGGAAAATTAAACCGAATCCACAGGAGCCAAAATATGACTTTAATT